ATTTACAATGTGATCTAAAAACTTAAAATAAATTTGAAGATGAAGCTTGTTATGCAGAAAACAAAAGTCCAGGGGAAGTATAAAAAGCACGAAATAATCATTCAAATCGTGAAAGATAGTAATTAGCATTATAAATACAATATGTCCTGTCAGTTTATAGAAGAATCGTAGTATACAACACACTAAATAATTGTTATTACATTACACTTCTAGAAGCTAATAAGTAGAAAGTCATTTACTGGATATCAGTGCATACGAAGCATGTGAAATGTAGAAACGATATGGACAACTAATGTAAATGAAAGCATAACACTAAGCGTTTATTCCACTTTAGAATTTTTACTGATTCGTCTCTCGTTTGATGGAATAATAATCAAGCTCGTTAGTAACTTTATTTTATCATGTTCATTATTATCACATACACGAGATTTGGTCAATTCTTCGCATTTATCTCAGGTATGCATCGTTGCATATCAAAAGGTGGATCCCGGTAGCATTTGCAGACATTATCGCAGTTGCTTATAACAGGATTAGTAAGTCAGATCGCAAGAGGGCACGCATTCATGCGGTATTAATGCCGAGCAACATTATCAGACTTTCAAAGATTTGTGGTTTATTGTGTGTACCTTCGTGTCGACTCCACCGGACTATTCTCCGTCTCTGGAATATTTCATCGATTCATTCTTTTGGAGTCACTTTTCACATGGTTTTAAGCCTGTCACTCATTCGCTTATTTCTTGGATGTTTCTATTGCACTCTGTGTACTCCACTAACTTCGCTTACTCGAATTCAACACATTAATAATAGGTCTTTCATGTCTACTCCCATTCTGAAGATTTCAAGAGCCAGACACTTGGTTGTAGAAGGGGTTTATCCAGGTATCTCTCAAAATCACGGTGTAGATGTGAAGTTTTAATGAAGACATACTGAACATTCAACGATCGAAGTGCAACAATATAACATACAACGCTTGAGTAGATTAAAAAAATAAGTAATATTCTTGCTGATATATTCGGCCAACTCCTGACTACCTCATTTAGGCAGTTACTAGTTGTCGGGAATCACTCTCCTGTTACAGATACGCAAAGAGAGACTTTCAGCGATGGTCGCTGAGAGGTTTTCGATAAAACCAGTACTAACGGAGAAAGCAATAAGGCATTTAAGGTATGTCTTAAGTAGGCACCACAAAACGTCGACGGTGTTGAACTCTCGATAAATTTGTGTCTTCCGGCACTTCCTCTACAAATGAATCTGTGGAATGCAAACGTTTCTACTGATGGTTCACGGACCTCCATCAACAGGGCTAGACATGACTCTCTAAACTGCCTTCAAGTGAATAGAAAATATTTTATTATAAGATTGTGTTGTTCATATTCTTTAAGGGTCGAAAAATATATGGAAAAATCCTATATTATTTATGTACTAAGAAGGTTTCTAACAATCCTTCGACGTCATGACAAGAGAAGAATTGCGAAACACTTCACTCTTCCTCAAAAATGAATTTAGTCAGGCAGCCTATTTACTGAAAAAAAGAGGTCATCGGTGATCGCAGAAACAGGATTTGAAGGAGCTTCACTATCCACGATTTCTACAGGATCCTTTTGTAAAGAGTGTATGATCGGCTTCACTTTGTTGAAGAATAAAACTTAAAAAGATGGACTCCAGCATTTGAGATTATTCTCCTTGAGTAGCAAGAGAATCAGAGGTGATGTGATTATGGCGTACGACATATTAGGCATCTTACCGGAGCATCACTATCACGCCCCGCGAGGTAATCCTCAACGGGCACCAAAGAGCGAACACCCAGGTACGTGCCCACTTTTTCCAACTTAGAATATTCTGCCAGCAGAGGTGACCATAGCCCTCTCAGTGGTGAACTTGATAAACACGAACTCACGCACGGATTATCCTCTTCCTAATAGAACAGCTGTTTCTGATACATGTCTTGATACCTGCAAGTTGTTATTATTGCCATTTCTTTAGATGACTAACTCAATCAATCTCGCTTACTATCTCTGTTTGTGCATTTATTTACTTAGTTCTGATATCTTATTAGCATCGGAATTTCCAACCTATTATTCTTCACATTATAACTAACTGATTTCCGGCCCGGTAACGTGATAGATGCTCGTATCTGCCCATTGTATCCGCTTTTTTCCCATCATCTGAATGTGTTTCATCTTGCGACAAATGCTAGTTTTGTGACTTGGCAAGCTCATTAACATCACACAAATCATCTGAGATCATATTTTCTTCAGGTGTGACGTCTTGTAATACTGTTTCTACACTTGATATACCTTCATCCTTACACTAGGTGCAAAAAGGTTTTCCATTTTCCTCTTTTGTTTGTGATATTGGAGGCGATTCGTCTGCCAAGGATGGCATAGGTATTGGTGGTTCTTTCTTGAGTGGCTCTACAGGAGTTTATGACGCTTCTTCCAGACTGACTTCTTTGTTCTTGGATCAATAATACTTAGTGGTTTTCTTTCAAGAAATGGCTTAGGTGAAGCAATACTAGACGGTAGGTTACCACCCGCCTGATTAGGAACTGATGGGAGAGCTTGCGTGACAGGATTAAAGAAACTATGCTGGTATTTAACACAATCAAGATACGTCAACATGCCAATTTGATCATGCGGCTGAACATCGGAGGGGGGCATCGTAATCATAAATGGAGACGGTGGATAACCACTGCATATTGCCCGATGGCCCAAGTCCGCAGAAGGGAGTAGAGTTGGGCACGGGGTTGAAGACCCCATTCCGCAGAAAACTAACTCCGTAAAAAATGCAAACCATAAAAAAATAATTCAAACCATTTTAACCCTGCCCTGGCTGTTAGAAGTTCTTCCTTCAGAAGAGTTATGACGTCTAATGATGAAAGCGAAGTTCACTCGGAAGTCACGAGGACAACTTCCCTTCTGACAGCCAGACTATTCATTCAGTTATGCACATGGAATGTTCGAACAATGAGGGAGGAGTGAAGACTAATCTGGGTTGCTGCAGAGATGAAACGATACAACGTAAAGGTGCTTGGAATAAGTGAAACGCATTAGACGCAGGTGGAACAACTGAGACTAGCTTCAGGAGAGCTGCTGTTATACTCCGGCCATGAAGAAGAAAATGCCCCACACACACAAGGACTCGCACTGATTCTGTCCAAACAAGCACAAAAGGCACTGACAGGATGGGAATCTCATGGACCCAGAATTATTAAAGCATTCTTCAGAACAAAGAAAGAGGGCATTAAAATAAACATCATCCAATGCTATGCACCTACCAACGACTACAACGACGACACTAAACATCAGTTCTTCGCAAAGCTGAAGTCATTCGTCGATAGATGCTCACCAAAGGATTTGACGACCTAGATGCCAAGGTTGTCATGGACAACACTGGATCTGAAGATATCATGGAAGGACATGGACTGAGAGAAAGGAACGGAGAAGGTGAGAGATTCGAAGACCTCCCTGTCTTCAACAAACTGGTCATCAGCCGCACTAAATTCACACACAAACGCATATATAAGGCTACATGGACTTCAATGGAACATATTACTCAGAACCAAATCGGCTAATATTGCAGTAGAGGCAATGAAAGCAGACTTTGTAGCGATTTAAAAAATATTTCGGGATGAAGAACAAGTACCATCAGACTGGAAAAAAGGATACCTGATCAAAATACCAAAGAAAGGCGAGGTTAGCTAATGTGAGAACTACAGAGGAAACACTCTACTATTAATACCAGGTACAGTCTTCAACAGGGTGATGCTAAACAGAAAGGATTTCGTAGACGCCCAAATTTGATATCACCAGGCTGGATTTTTTAAGGATCGATCGTGTGCTGATCACATTGCAACACTGCGCATCATTGTGTAACAATCAATTGGATGAAACTCACCACTGTACATCAACTTCATTGACTGCGAGAAAGCGTTAGATAGTATGGACAGGAAAACACTATGGAGGCTTCTTCGAAACTACGGCGTTCCTGAGAAGATAGTCAGCATCATACAGAAATCTTACGATGGATTAAACTGTGAAATCAAACATGGGGACAGCTGATAGATTCTTTAGAAATAAAGATTGATATCAGGCATGGTTGATTACTCTCACCCTTCCTCTTTCTCCTGTTGATCGACTAGATTATGAAGACATCAACATCTGGAGGGGAGCATGAGATACAATGGATAATCAGGACGTAGCTGGACGATGTGGACTTCACGGAACATCTGGCTCTTCTATAGCACGTGCAGCAACAAATGCAAGATAACCAGTGCATTAGCAACTTCAGCAGCAGCAGGTCTCAATATACATAAAGGGAAAAGAAAGATTCTATGATAAAACACAACATGCGCCAACCAAATCACGCTATTCGGAGAAGCTATGGAAGTTGTGAAAACCTTCATATATTTGGGCAACAACATAGACGAGCCAGGTGTATCGGCGAAGCATGGTCAGCATTTATGCGATCGCACATCTGGAACTCTAATCAACTATCAACAAACACCAAAATCAGAATTTTCAATATAAATCTCAAGACAGTTTTACAGGATGGGGAGGAAACTTTCAAAACTACTACTACTATCATTCAGAAGATACAAGTGTTCCTTAAAAGTTGTCTATGCTGAATACTTTGAACCCTTTGCCGGACACCAACATTAACAACCTACTGTCGGAAAGAGCAAACCAGAGTCTGGTGAAGGAGGAAGCGCTCGAATTGGATAGGGCACACGTTGCAGAAAGCATCCAACTGCGTCACAAGACAAGCTCTCACTTGAAACCGGCATTGTCGAAGGAAAAAAAGGGAGGAAAAGGAACATTATGTCTAAAAATGGAGATGGACATTACAAGAATGAACAACCATTTGACAGAACTGGTAAGGAAGACTTAGGACAGAGTAGGTCGAAGAAATCTAATTGTTGGCCTTCCGTCTATTGGGGCTAACAGGCGTAAGTAAGCCGGTCTAGTAGACTACCATCCATTGATAACTGTCAAATATCTTGAGCTGTTTCAAAAGAGCAAGAATCGAGCGCAAAGAAATACGAATGGTTTATACTAGCTCATGAAAAACATATTGGACATTGGATTCCTTATGCATGCTTTGAGACTTGCTGGTCGTTATTATTGCCATCCACCCAGATCACTAAATTAATCTATCTCCCCTATTATCTCTGTTTTCTCTCTCTTGCTTACACTTCGGTCCTCTCTCACAATCTTCACTTCCAATTAATAAACTAAATTATCTACTGAATTACTTAGTTCTGGAATCTTCTTATTAGTATGAGAATTTTCTCCTTGTTATTCTCCACGTTTCAACTAACTGACCTCCTGTCTGGTAATATGATAGCTGCTGGCATCCAGAAACCCTACAGCCCTGAAACAAAGGTTTTCATTCAAATGACGGTATATACAACCTCAAAAACAACCGCCAACTGACTAGAATTACTGCAATCGACTGGCTAGACTACCATCCATTGAACTCTAACAAGCATCTGCAACAGTACCGAATGAACAAGAATGAAGCTCAAAGAAATCAGCTGGTTAATAATAGCTCGTGAAAATGATATTGAATATTGGATGGCAACATGTAGTAATAAGCACAAGGTTGTATTTGTTTGTTTGGCGGATTAGTGAAAATAAAAAGTCATGATTGTGGACTTATATATATCATCAACCTCAGGCAACACAAACGTAATATCAGCATATATTACTAATGGCGACATTTTAGGTCAAAAGTAGACAACAGTATATAATAAACAGACTCACTGCTGCGAAAATACCCTTCGAAGTTAAAGATATATCCTCCTCAGAGACGGACAAACAGTTCATGTGCAAGATCCTCAAAGAAAATGGAAAAACACCAATTGCCCCTCAACTATTTCTCGGATCAGAATATCTGGGGGTATGCTCAAGCCGGTCTTTCTGTGTGCCTTTTCATTTTTTGTACTAAAAGTCTGTCATCATATTTTGAAGTTAAAAGGTATCCGTAAGCATTTCAGTCACTTACTCTCACCCTACCAGATCTACGTACTTTGTTCACATTGCTACTTTTATAGTAGCCACATATTAGGACACTTCGAGTCAGTTTGGAAATGGTTCAGAAAGCTTCGGAAACCAAGTTACATAATACAGATTGTTAGCCGAAAACTAGATTTCACTTTCTTCTAACTGCCACGCCAACTTCTACTCCTTTTTTTGAAATCGACTTTGACTCTTTGTCAGGGTTCTGTAGATCTCATATGACTCCAGAGATGCAAAATACTTAAACGAAAGCTGTAAAACAAAAGGAATTTTTGTTTCGCTTCCACAAAAAATTGTTTTACGTTAATTAGAGGCTATGAATTATTATCTGTATCAGTATTGGCTATCCAGTGCCATTTGTTGACCCTGGAAGTGTGTTGTATCGGCTGAGAAACCACCATCCCACCATACATTATCCAAGATTTTATGATATCTCTTTCAAAACTATCATATATTGGAATATTTTAATTTAACTGGGATTCTGGGGATTAAAAGCAACTTCAACTGTGATGGTGAACTGTGTATGATTGTGATGTGCTGAAACTTCACGATATTCTCTAGAGATGTGAAGTCTACTTTTCTATATTCTCATGTAAACTGTATTCTCCAGTGATTTTGCGGTTATTGTCATCCTTTTAATTCATTCAAAGAGATATGATCTTTTGATTGGGTTATTTTTTGTCATTCGATTAGTGCGAGTTGAAGTCTGTGAGCTTAATGTATCAAGACTTTATTATGATAAATAAGGACTTACGAAATTCTAATCTTCAGCAACTCAAGAATTCAGGCAAACCATATTTAATCACATTAAAATGAATATTTTTACAATTACGTACTACATAGTGGTATTGTATTTACGGATAATGAAAATTGTCTAGTTATCAAACTACTTGTGGCTTTTAGTTGTACTTCTTTACAAGCACCAACAAATCTCACAATAGCTGAAAACCTAATACCTTCACTATCGACAAACATGACCCACTCCCACTTAACAACGTTTTGCTAAGTCTTTAGTTTTGTAACGGTGAGCATAGTGTTATGCGTTGCTGACATTCGGCACCATTGCAGCGGATACCAAGTTCTCGTCACATGTTTAATTGACATAAAAACATGGCCAAGTAGGAGTAAAACATGTTTGTCGATACTGAATGCATCGGGTCTTCAGCTTTTTTGAGACTGGTTGGTGCTTGTAAAAGCATGTAAACGGTAAACAAAACCTGTGTATGTCACTAAGCAATATATTCATTGCGTAAGATTAACTATCACCAGTTTTGTTGACAATTATATCTCTGTGCTAATGTGGCATGGCAACTTGAACTGATGTACTTATGTACAAAGTTCTACGTTGTAACTGACTGACTGACCTGTTCTTCCACAATTATAATTGAAATCTCCATTATTCATGACAAGCAACTACAATCTCACGTTTAGCTCATCTTATTAATCATATTTGGTGGCGAGAAGATATTCTTTCCATTATCTTTACAGATAATGTATCAAATCATGAACTATACTTATCTTATGTGATCCAAATGTACTTATAGTTACACCTGATATCTTATTTACAATCTTCTTACAGTTTTAGATTCTTGTAAATTATTTAATTATCTGACCTCATACGCTAAGCTTTTCCTGTTCTACTTAAGTACACAAATAATGACTAATGGGTGCCAGAACTATTTCATTGGTTCTATGCAGCTGCGTAGGATCCTTGGTGCTCTCTAAACAATATAATAACTTGACACTTTATTACGAAAGGAGCTATGACCTAGTCGTTTACTCATTATGTATATGGGATCGAACACAAATGTATGTAGCGCGTGTGCACCGTTGGTTTGAAATCAGTTTCCAACTCCTGTAGGTGGATCCTCCATGCTCAGCGCCGGACATACATTTTTTGTCCTGAATTTCACAAATACCTCTGCCATGAAAATGCAGTAAGTAGGACTTCTCTGACAGTAGCTATATACATGTGGTCGTGTGAGAGCATTTCCAGGAGGATGAGCTCTCCCCACTCTCAGTCTCACTATGTATGATGTTTGGAGGTAGAGCCAAATAAACAACCAATGCATATATACTCCATTGTGACCACCGGTTCTGAGCCCTAATCATCACTTGAAAAAGCATAAACCATAGTTTAAACTGAATAAACATTTAATTCATCTGTACCATATCATTGAACAAATCACCTACCCCATCAATAACCTTTTCATTTTGTTTTTACTATTAATTTCCCCAATAGGATTATGATGAATTTATGCAAGCTAATGAAAATGAAATGTTGCTGGAATTTTTAAAACTCAATGATTCATCCCATACCACAGGCTTAGAAGCTGAATCATAAATTTCTCTACATACTTTTTTCTTTCCTTTCTTTTTATTTAATATTCTACAGATAATAATAATTATCATTATATTCTTTCATTTCTACTTTGTTCTTTAGAAAAAAAATGGAACATTCCTTTAAATATTTCTCTCTTGCATTCCATAGAATAGGTTATATATACATATATATATTTGTATATTTATATGGAATTCTCTTTTTTTCTAAAATGTTCTATCGCTTCCTATCATCATTCATTGCCTATTACTACTAAATTAGTCTTGTTTTACAGTATATCATCATTTTGTAAGCTAATTTTGATATAACCGTTATTATTATTATTGTTATATTTTCATGTTTTTTTTTAAATTTGTTTTTGTTGGTATTGTATACTTTTCAGGTGTTTATTCTTGTTTTTTTTAGGCTTTTCTTTTCTTTCTACTCTAAAAATTCCAACTTGTTATTGTTATTATTATGATATTTATATATTTATATATATATATATGTATGTTTATACATAGTTGACTGCTAATTTTTTTTTCTCTACTCTAATACAGTACAGTATTATTATGAGCTTTTCTAATTTTGCATACTACTTATTATCTTCATGAAAATCTACTTAACTTGTTGTATGTGCTAATATAGTAGTGTTTGTCTCTTCAGAGTGGAACAATTTTTTCAAGTACACAAACATACTTCTTCTTTATTATGCCATCCATACACAATGGTCAGTTATAATTGTGTTTTGTTTTTCTGTTTTGTTGATCTGTTTTGGTTTTAATTAAAAGAAATTTCAATCATTTATATACTGCGTAAATTATTTTGCGAGATGATCATTGGGTAAAGAGTAAGTATGTGATTGAATCAATTAATTAATTAATTAATGAAGATATTCTGCAACCTTAATTTAGTGATGATTTTGTAATAGAATTATAACTATAAACCAACCCGATTGCATTCTTTTGATTATTAAAAATTAGCAATGTACTACTAATTCTATTACTACTACTGTAGTGAAGGAGAACACAGGTGGGGCAACCGGAATGTATTTAACGAAAATTACAGAGTTACTCAGTAAAATTGGAAAACCATATCGTAAATTGTTAATTTGCAAAATATCAGTCCATCATCATATCGAACTGGACGGTTCCTGTTGCAAAACATCCATCCATTGTCACTATTCATCATGCGTTTCATACAAATTCCATTGTGTTCTGACTCTTCCTTTCTTGATCTTTCCCCATCTCCCGCTGCCAGACATTATGTTGACACTCACGTCATATACTACTTATAAGTAGCTCGCACCAAACTACTAGTTCTACTACATATATATGCTGAAATAGAAAGCTCGATCTAGAAAGTAATAATTCCATTGGGAAAAGTGGGTTTCATTCCAGTCGTGTGCTAGGGCTTGTCATGGACAAAACTGAGAATATCAGAGGTATAAAAAGGATATTCTAGGCTAATAAAATATTAGTGCGAGATGATGGGTGGCACACAGTATCGGGATGTTCAGGTATCGTATATTCGGATATGCCGAAAAATATTTCCTACACGTTCTTGACTATGAAAAATGCAGCATAATTACGAATCATTTGTTATTCATCCGATATAAATCATGCTATTAGGAATGCATTGAGTAAATATGCTCTCTTGCATTATACAAATACTTGGTAAGGTGGTGATTTTCATTTGCGTGGTTCTTAGCTAGCGTTAACGTAAATTCACTTTCCTGATAGTTTTTCTAGTCTTCACACATTATGGGAATTTAGGGGTTTGGCATCAGAATGTAGCGATACTTACTTTCGGAGCATAGGCCGCCGACCAGTTTTCTGATGGTACTTGTTCCTCATCCCAAATCTTCTTGAAGAGGATGTGAAATACTTTCACCGATGCTTCCATGTCTGCTTTCATTGCCTCTGCTGGAATGTTGTCTGGTCCTGCTTCTTTGCCACTCTTGGTTTGCCTGATGGCCGTACTGATCTCTTCAATTGTAGGTGCCCCAAAATCAATCTGGAGGTCCATGGATGCTGCTTCGATGTTAGGTGTGTTTAGGGGAGCTGGTCAATTCAAGAGTTCCTAAAAGTGCTCTACCCACCTACTTCGCTGTTCTTCAGTGTTGCTGTTTACTTTGCCTTCCTTGCTTTTCACTGGTCGTTCTGGTTTACGATAGTTCCCGGCGAGCTTCTTTGTTGTTTCGTGCAATTGTCTCTTGCAGCCTTTCCCGCCGTCATTGCTAGATCTTCCACATATTTTCGTTTGTAAGCTCTGATGCTCTTCTTCACTTCTCCTTTTGCTTCTGTGTATGAAGCTTGTGCTGTAACTTTCTCTGCTCTTGTTCGGCTGACATTGATTTCTTCCTTCTTGTCCCTCCTTTCTTCAATTTTTTCAAGAGTACCAGCAGAGATCCATTCCTTGTGATGGTACTTCCTGAGACCCAGAACTTCTTGAAATGTTGAAGTGATTGCCTCCTTGATCCCTTTCCAATTGTTCTCAAATGTTGCTTCCTCTCCATTGAGTAGATCCTAAAAGGCCTGGAACTTATTGGAGAGGGCTATCTTGAATTCGTTGAGTTTTACGGTATCCCGAAGAAAGGCTGTATTAAACTTCTGTGATGTTGTCTTCCCCGTAGTCCAGTGTTTCTTGAGTTTCATTCTCATTTTATCGACCAGCAGGTGGTGATCTGAAGCTATATCAGCTCCTCTCTTGGTTCTCACATCCTCCAGGGTCCTTCTGAACATTTTATTGATACAGACATGGTCAATTTAGTTTTGAGTAGTGTGGTGCGGTGAAATCCATGTGGCTTTGTGTATGCGTTTGTGCGGGAATATTGTGCCACCGATGACTAGTTTGTTGAAGGCACATAGGTTTTCAAATCTCTCACCATTTTCGTTCCATTCTCCCAGTCCATGTCGTCCTATGATGTCATCATATCCAGTGTTGTCCATGTCAACTTTTGCATTCAGGTCTCCCATAATAATCGTCAAATCCTTTGGTGAGCGTTTCTCGACGATTGACTGCAGCCTTTCGTAGAGCTGATCTTTAACGTTGTCCCCTGAAGCTAGTCTCAGTTGTTCTACCTGTGTCCAGTGTGTTTCACTGATGCCGAGCACCTCGAGGTTGTATCTTTTCATTTCTGCCGCAACTTGAAATAGTCTTCCAGTCTCCCACAATGTACCAACGTCTCATGTACCTGAAAGAATGATTGCTCTGGTTGTCAGAAGGGGCATCAGCCTCGTGACTTCCGAGGGAACTCGGCTTTCATCACGCGACGTCATAATTCTACTTCCAACTCCCAGGGCAGAGTTAAGATGGTTTGAATTATTTTTTCTGGTTAGCCTTTTTTGGCAAGTTAGTTTTAGTTGGGATGGGGGCGCCAACCCAATGTCCAACTCTTCCTTTATCCGGGCTTGGGACCGGCAGTAGCTGCGAACGGACTACAGGCGGAGTTAGAATGTAGCGATGCTTATCATATTTTCATCCGACCTGTGAATGTGTCGTTCAAGTATCCTGGAATGTATGCAAGAGAGTTTTAATAACTGTACTTATTTTCGTGGGCGCAATCGTTTATCCGCATATATGGGACCTTCTTTCTAGATTCAATGAAAGAGGCTGGTACTGTATGTTATACATATTGTGTTTATTGTTACTTAACCATAAAGGCTAGAACATTCGTAATTCATCGCTTTTCGGCCAAAGTTACTCTTCATATTCAAGCAATATACTCCTCGTCTATCTACTCATTTACAGATGATATGACTTTTTTGGACCTCCAAAATTCTCGCAGTAAACGGAATTAATGCATACATTGTATATGAAATTAGGTGTGGGATATTTGTTGGAGTCAAAAAAGTGTTTAAAAAAACCATCAATTGCCTGAAATACAAACTATTTACTCGGCATTATACACACTGGGATTTCAGTTCCTCGATTTCATAGGTCTTGTACACTCATCAGCTAATGTCAAGTATACAACACTTGAATCATTCACATGGCTATTTAAGGCCATCTCTTTAGCTTCAAGCAAAAATCTACAGAGTTATTTGCTCTGTTTTGAATATTCTGTTTACTAATTCATTATATCAACAATTCCATTCGCTAATATGATTTATCATTAATTAAATTTATTGTTAAAGTGCGATTTTATTCATACGTTTTAAATTTTTAAAAAAAAAGTATAAATAACTGTTAACAATGTTGTTATTGACAACTGGTGTATAAATATCTATGTTCAATGCATACAATTTATGATGTCCTAAACTGAAATCGATTCAAAGATTATTAAAAATAGTTGGAATGAAAACAATCAATCTTGGATAACATTTTATAACATAGTGATTTGATAGAAATTCGAAATGTAGAAATCTACTTCCTGGCTCAGTAGTGCTAATGTACTAGTTTGATAATAAGATCTGATATATCTTTGGTCCTAGCCTAATCGGAGTATACGATTTGTCAAATGACAACAAGGTATATGCTAGTGCTATTTTCAACAGTTTTAATGTGTCAAGTGATAGCATTTACATAGTTCTGATTTCTTGTCGGACTACACTCTATGTTTTGGGACAAGACTATTATCCTGGACTTTCAATGGTTTTTAACTAGTGGCCTATCATGTTGTCAAGTATAGTTTAGTGGCCCGGGTTCTGACCCTGATTTAGACGAACAATTGAATATGCCATGATTTGATTTCTGTAAATTACATTTTGGCTAACTCCGTTTGTGCAACAGTGGTTTAATTTGGATTGATTCGTTTCATGCATTCACGTAAGCAGACCCATTAAATTGTGAAGCGTAAATGTTAAGTGAAGCTGAGACGAGTGGACCGACTCCATGTAATAAAGCATGACTAAGTATTTAAATCAAACGAAAACACACTAGACATGTGATAAGCAATGCACATTTCTCACTTAAATAAAAACCACCAAGGTTATAAGCGAATAATTAACAAGGAGGAGAGTGAACTAACAAATCTGTCCAAAAGACAAGCCATATAAGTACACACTGCAGTAGTGATTGAT